TATATGGCAAACCCACAGCTAACATCATACTCAATGGGGGAAAAATTAAAGCATTTCACTTAAGATCAGGAACAAGACAAAAGATGTCTACTTTCACCAATCTTATTCAATATAGTACTGGAAGACCTAGCTATGGCAATCAGACAAGAAGAAAAAATAAAAGGCATCCAAATTGGAAAGGAAGAAGTAAAACTGTCATTATTTGCAAATGACATAATGCTATATATACAGAACTCAAATATTCCACCAAAAAAACCCACAAAAACTAGAAATGATCAATGATTCAGTAAACTAGCAGGACACAAAATAAATATTCAGAAATCAGTTACATTTTTATACACCAATAAGGAAATATCAGGAAGGGAAACTAAGAAAACAGTCACACTTAAAATTGCATCCAAAAAAAACTAACTGGGAATAAATTTAACCAAGAAGATAAGACTTGTACTTGAAAAATTATAAGACACTGAAGAAAGAAAGTGAAGATACAAATAAATGGAAACATATATTGTGCTCATGGATAGAAAGAATTACATCACTAAAACATGCGTACTACTCAAAGCAATCTGTAGATTCAATGCAATTCCTACCAAAATACCAATGGTGTTTTTCACAGAACTACAATAAATAATTTAAAAATGTATATGGGACTACAAAAAAAAACCCAAAAAACAATAGCCACAGCAATCCTGAGACAGAAGAACAAAACGTTGGAGGTATCACACTACCTGATCTCAAATTATACTACAAGGCCATAGTAATCAAAATAACATGGTACTGACATAAAAACAGACATATAAATCAATGAAACAGAATAGAGAGCCCAGAAATAAACATATACCTTTATGCTAATTAATATTTGACAAAGGAAGCAAGAACATACCATGGGATAAAGACAGTTTATAAAATAAATGGTGTTGGGAAAATTAGACACGTTAAAAAAAAAGAACCTAGACCATCTTCTTATACTGTATACAAGATTAAACTAAAAATGGATTAAAGACTTAAGTGTTAGACTCAAAACCATAAAAATCCTAGAAGAAAACATAGGCAGTAAAAATCTCAAACATATCTCATAGCAATATTTTTCCTGATACATGTCTTCAGGCAAGGGAAACAAAAGAAAAAATAAATGAAGGGGACTACATCAGACTAAAAGTTTTTTGTACAGCAAAGTTTTGTTGCACTACCAACAAAATGAAAAGATAACATGCTGAATGGGATAAGATATTAACCAGTGATACATCTGATAAGGGGTTGATATTCAAAATTTATAAAGAACTCATACAACTCAAAACCAAAAAAAAACTAACTAAAAAATGGGAAAAAGACCTGAACAGACACTTATCCAAAAAAGACATACAGATGGCAAATAGACATATGAAAAATGCTCAATACCACCAATCATCAGAAAAATGCAAATGAAAGCCACAATGAGATATCACCTCATACCCATCAGAATGACTGTCATCAATAAATCCACAAACAACAGTCGTTGTGAAGGATGTGGAGAAAAGGGGACCCTCGTGCACTGTTGGTGGGAATATAGACTGGTGCAGCCACTGTGGAAAACAGTTCGGAGGGTCCTCAAAAAATTTAAAATGGAACTGCCTTATGATCTAGCATACAGATCATTAAAATTTTTGGTTTCTTTCTATGTATATATTGTGTGTATATATATATATATGTTAGTATTTTTGTTTCTTTTGATGTGTGTGTATATATATATTTCAATATATATATAATTTCAGACTCATAGACACTGAGATACAGAGAAATATATATATATATATACACACATATATTTTGATATATACATGGAAAGAAACCAAAAATACTAATTTGAAAGAATATGTGCAGACCCATGTTCATTGCAGTATTATTTACAATATCCAAGATACAGAAGCCACCCAAGTGCCCATCAATAGACCAGTGGATAAAAAAGCCGTGTTATATATACACAATGGAATATTACTTGGCCACAAAAAAATAAAATCTTACCATTTGAGACAGCATGGATGGACTTAGAGAGTATTAAGCTATGTGAAATAAGACAGCAAGAGAAAGACAAGTACCATATCATTTCACCTGTATGTGGAATATAAAGAAAAATATAAACAAACAAACAAAACCAAAACAGACTCATAGATACAGAGAGCAAACTGATGGTTGCCAGAGGGGTGGGAGTTGGGGAACTGGGTGAAAAAGGTGAAGGGATTAAGAAATACAAATTGGTTGCATGACAGTCATGGGGATGTAAATAAAGTACAGCACAGGGGAGCTAGTCAATAATATTGTAATAACTACATATGGAAATATCAGGGGGAACATTTTGTAAAGTATATGATTGTCTAACCACTATGCTGTGTACCTCAAACTAATACAAAATAATATTGACTACATATAAACTGTAATTAAAAAATACAAAATTAAAATTTAAAAAACAAGAAACTAGTCTTCCAAGTAGACTTTTGCCAGGCTGTTACCCTCTCCAGGTACAACTCGCAGAGCTACCCATCAAGGTAGAACGGTGGGGGCAACTTCTGGACAGTACAAACAGCGGATCCTGGATAGTATGAGTAAGAAGTTTACTTCAACAAAGAACTCTAATTTGGTAGGCCTAATGTGGGGCCCCAGGCAGGCGAAATTTGAAAAGGGCTTCGTTTGATTCTGGTATTAACCCCTTGTTCATAACCCTTTGACATCCAAATAAAGAGAAATCTCTGTCTCTAAAAACATTGCAAAAATCAAAAGTAAGAAACCACCTAGAAAGGAAAGCTCAAGAAACTTCCTTGTAGAGGGGCAGATGGTAAATATCTTGGGGTTTGCAGGCCATGTAGTCTGTGGCCACGAGACAGAGTTCCGTTGTAACAGGAAAACAGCAATCATGCACAGCCTTTATAGTGCAAAAACAGCCACCCACAATATGCAAATGAAAGGCCATAGTTGCATTACAATACAACTTTATTTACAAAAACAGGCAGCTGAAGAGCTGCAATTTGCCTATCCCTGACCTGGAATAATCAGAGGAATTGGTCCCTCTAAAATAAATTCACTATAGAAACCAAAGTTTAGAAAATTTTCTGATTCTTATTCACAAGAAGATCCAAGAATATATAGCATTTAGGAGAACAAAATAAACATTCATAAAAATCAAACAATTTGGGAACATAAGATTGGATTTAGCCCTGGCTGGTATAGCTCAGTGGATTGAGTGTGGGGCTGCAAACCAAAGGGTTGCTAGTTCAGTACCCAGTCAGAGCACATGCCTGGGTTGCAGGCCAGGTCCCCAGTAGGGGGCGCTTCAGAGGCCACCACATATTGATGTTTCTCTCCCTCTCATTCTCCCTCCCTTCCCCTCTTTCTAAAAATAAATAAATAAAGTCTTAAAAAAAAAAAAAGATTGGGCCCTGGCTGGCGTAGCTCAGTGGACTGAGCGCAGGCTGCGAACCAAAGCATCGCAGGTTCGATTCCCAGTCAGGGCACATGCCTAGGTTGCAAGCCACAGCCCCCAGCAACCACACATTGATGTCTCTCTCTTTCTCCCTCCCTTCCCTCTCTAAAAATAAATAAAATCTTTAAAAAAAAGATTGGATTTAAAATATGATTACCAAATTTAAAATTGCACTGAAGGCAGTACACAACAAAGTTGGAAGCAGAATTGGTAGATTAGAAGCAAACTTAGCAATTTAACCAAAATAAAGCGATAAAAGATACAAGGGAAAAAAATATGAGAATAAGGAATAGATGCATAAAAGAAAGTGATGTTGATAAGAATTTCTAAAAGGAAAAGTAACTTATGGAAAAGAAGGAATAATCAATTAAATGGAAAAAAAAACCTCTCCGAACTGATAATTTAGTGTGGGTGGGGAAGAGAGCACATACCAGATGAAAGAAAGTAGGCCATGTGTTGATAACTGTTGAAGCTGAAGGATTACTATTCTTTCTACATTTCTAAGATGGGAACTATTTGTTGTATTTTTGTATATTTCCATAAGAAACAGAATTTTAAGTTATGGATTTTTCATAATAATGACATAATACATGTTAATTTTTTATTATCAAAATAAAGTACAGTGATCACTTCAGCAGTACATATGAGGCAGGATAGTAAGAAGCTAGGAAAATTCCTTGGCGCGTGGAATGGGGAAACTGAGCCAGAACTGAACAAACTGGCTGAGCAATTCACAGCCTGATGCAGAGGATCGCCAAGGCAGAAAGCCCTGGGGAGCCCAGCAACAGGCAAAACTGGCGCCAGACCTCACCACCACCACCGCCCCCGCCCCCCCCCCGCCCCCACAACTCCCCGCTGCCCCGGAGTGGCCTTTCCTCCGCTGGGATATTGCTGGTCATGCGCTTTAGAGTCCCTTACCTTTCCTCTCTACAGATAACATCTAGGCCTCAGTTGTATTTTAGCTCCAGGCCCAGAAAAGCGGCAAAACCAGGCGGGTGATGCCAAGACCGGCTGCACTAATGACCCCCTATCCCGGAGCCAACTAATCAGTGGAGATCAAGACCCTGAAATGATACACCGGAAAGGCTGATGAATATTCTATTGAGATCCTCCCCTAAGGCCTCTCCAAAATCCCAGCCTTTAATACTCTCAAGACGGAAGCACCCAGCGCTCACTCTCCCTCTTGAGATCACATCCACCCCTTTTCCTTTCCCCCTCTCCTTCCCCAACACGCATGCATCACAAAAACTCTAACGGACCCTGTGAGACTCACAAGCAGAGGAAAAATGGGAAGAGGCAGCTCATCCCAGGAGACCCCCCTGAACCTGTCCCCAGGACCCCCTTTTCTCTGATTCTCCAGTAAGCCAAAGCGGCCCCACCTAGGCTCTCTCCTGTTGCTTCTTGCGTCCTAGGCTTTTGTTTCACTGTCCCCAGCTTTAATAAACGTACTCTCAAAATCACCTGGACTCATATTGTGAAATTTCTCCTGCACAAAGTCAAGAACCCATACACCACAAGCCGACCTGAGGCAGACGCGCTCCAGGCCGGGTTACTGTCCACTAACACACAGACTAAAATTGTAATGATCCAGAGAAGGTTAGCATGCCCCCTGCACAAAGATGACACACAAATTTGTGAAGCATTTATATTTTTTAAAAAATAATACTTAAAAAATTTTAAGCACAAAGGAGCGTGGACAAAAAAAGGGCCACACACTAAATCTGACAAGCTACCCAAACACCATCTCTATGTGTTGTAAATGTTGCATGTTAACTATCCTGCACCAATGTAGAAAAAGTATGTGTCTCTCCATTTTACTCTTTATCCAAGCTCAGAGACTTAACCACTTTTTCTCTCACCTCCATAATCTACCACTAGTGAATTTTATATAACCCCCCTTAAGTCTCCCCCTCTCATTCTAATGTATAAAATGAGCTGCAAAACTGCCATTCTCTGGAGCCTTTTCTCCATCCATTGAGATTTTGCTTCCTAGCAATTGTCATCAGTTTGGCTAAAATAAATTCATAAAAATTCTCTATAGGTTTAGACATCGATAGAAGAAATCGAAAACCTATCATCCCACGACCCAGACATTACCCCGTCAATGTTTTCATCCCTTAGGCTTCTCGTACTTCTTCCCTAACCATATATGTGTTTACCAAATTGAGATTATTTTACACATACTGCTTTTTATCTTGCTTTCCTCACTTGATAAAATGGAAATGTTTTTACTCTCTAATTCCATTTTCACTTAAGTCCACTAAAAAAACAGGTATTAAAATCATCCTCAGTCCACACACACAGGCTTATTATGATTTCGAAGCTACGCTTCAATTAATTTGTTGGAGAACCTTTTAAAATAATGCAAAACTTAAACATCATAAGTATGCAAGGACAATTCAGTAATTAAAATATGGTGCCTTCAGTAGAAGTAAGATTAAGGAAATCTGTGTGTTTGTATGGAAGCAATTGATATCAACCCTGGCTAACACAAAGAGAGAAGAATTCACTGGAAGAATTCATTTGTTGGGCAGCTCACAAAAGCATTGAGAAGCCTGGAGGAGAAGAGTCAAAAAACGGGCAGAAGCCAAGGAAGCTCAGCAGCAGGAGCCACAGCCCAGACAAAAACGGAAGGAGTAGCCTGGTTAGGACCCTGGGAGAGGTGACACCACAGGACTCAGCCCACAGGTTGCACAACACCCTCGCAAATTCTTACTACCTTTGCTACTACAAATAACTCTAAACTGTTTCTGCATCCGTGTTTCTCCCACAAGAGTCAAGGCTCTGGGCTGTGGTGTCCAAATCCTGGAGTCTAGATAAAGTGCCCTTATCCTGACTGCCCCAAGCTGGGGAAAGAGATCAGCCTTCATTGGTTTCAGTAGGGGAAGACAGGCCCCTGCATCCCCCTAGGGTTGCATACAGTAGGAAATTACCCCTACGTAGAAGGTACATGGGAGAGAAATACATATGTATTATGTGTTTTACATGATACTATTTAAACATAGAGGGAGAAGTAAGGTAGTTGGGGAGGAATACATAGATAGATAGATAGACAGAGATCCAGTCTTAACATTTATGACAAAAAATTACTAGATGATCATGACTTAATCCTTGACTATTAATATTCTCCTCTAAATTATGAGAACAAAGCTTGTTCCCACTAGCTTCACTGATATGTGGTAAAGATAAATAATTTAATATCCCTAATGACACTGAACACCTAAGGAAAAAAATACATTATAGATACACATTATTTTAATCAAGGAAACTATAATTAGTAAAGATCATATCTGCTGTGCTTCAGACATACGTAACAATAAACGTTTCTAAGTCAGAGATACTGGAAACTGTCTTCAGGCAGTTTGTTCTAACAGCAGCACTATATATAAGCTTAATTCTTAAAACGGCATTAATTTTGAGCTAACTTTTTGAACTTTGTTCTTGCAAAATACAGGTCCAGGGCTCAGAACTGGAGAGGGGAAGAAAGATGCACAGCCTGCCCAGTTGGTTGGATCTGTTACATTAATTTCACAATCTGTGAAGGAGTAGGTTGCCCCCTTGAATGGTAATGGAAAATTAGTTTCTTTATTTCTTCATTAAGACTGTGGGAGGAAAATTAATACTCTCTTCGGCTTTTCCAAATTAATAGAATATGCCTTTATTAAAATGATGAATGTACATGCCCACTTTCTTTTTGGTTGAGAGATTCTCTAACTCATAGAATAACTGAACTTAAAGCTGAGCCTTAGAAATCATCTTGTTAAGGAAACTGAGATTCAGAGAGACTAAATTAGTTACCCAAGGTCACACAATTAACTAAGGACAGAGCAAGACTAAGCTTGGTCTCTGACTCTTAATCCAGTGCTCTTTCAAAATCATCAAGCTATTTTAAATGGTGGAGGGGGATTCATTTATTATACTTTTCATATTGTTAGTGTATGCAATGTTTCTGGTTCCTGTGCCCAGAGGTGTAATATTCCCTTACTCAAAATAAAGGAAATTTTGTACATTTTCCCAATTTTCTTTTTGTGAGGTTCAGGTGGAAAGAAATAGAACCCCTATCTTGGAAAGGGTCATCCTTGGGCAAAATGTAAAGTCTAGTCTTTCGTCAACCACCCCCTTCCCCATTTTATATTCCTATGCAAACCCAGGATCACAGTTAACTTCTCATCTTACTGCCCTTCTTCATGAAAACTCCTCTGGGATTTTATTTTACTATTTCATACATAACCAGTATGTGTGACACACACGCACGCGCGCGCACACACACACACACACACACCTGGGTGTATCTATCACCTATTTTGGGAAACAAAACCTACTGTCAGTGCCCTGGCTGGGTAGCTCAGTTGGTTAGAGCATTGTCCCAATACGCCACGGTTGTAGGTTCCATCCGCAGTCAGGCACAGATAAGAATCAACCAATGAATGCATAACTACATGAAACAACCAACTGATGTCTCTCTCCCTCTCTCCCCCACCCCTTTCTCCCTCTTCCTTTCTTTTTCTCTCTCAGATCGATTTTATAAATTATTTTTAAAAACATACCACCAGCATACCACCTCTTCTCTATTCCTGATTGCATCTTCTCTCCCACACTCAGAGGTAACTAACCACTCTCTCGTCATTTCTGTCATTTCTTTATTTTTTATCATTTCCTTGCTTTCCTTTGTAGTTTAACTACATGTGAATGTACCTCTAATCAATACATCATTTAGTTTGTGCCTGCTTGTAATCTTTCTATAATTGGCATAAACATCAATATGCTCTTATAACTTCCATTTTCACTCAACATTTCATTTGTTTAAAACTGTTATATGTTGCCTGAATGTATTTGTTTTCACTGCTGCACTGCATGCCATTAGATGAATACACCAAAATGTATTTATTCGTTCTTCTGTTGCTAGCCAACCCCTTTCTATTTTTTATTTTTCGCTCTTACAAACAACACTGTCAGGAATATCCTCTTACCTCTATTCTGTTGCAGGGGGGCAAGAGTACTTCAGCAGCAGGACTGTTGGGTAGTAAGGCAGAGGAGCTTCAAATGTGAGACAATGCCAAATCGTCTCCTGAAGCGCCACTAGCAGCGATTATGGATTCCCACTGATGCATATTCTTGCTCACACTTGGGAGTGTCAGATTCTTTTTATTTCCTCTAACCATGTAGTAGTTTTATTTACATTTCTCTGATTAATAATGATATAGGGCATGTTGTCATATTTATTTATTGATCATTCTGATTTCTTCTCTACACATGTTTATTGAGTTATTTGTCTTTGTCTTGGTAATGTGTAAGAGGGTTTTTAAAATGCTATATTTTGAATACCAGTTGTTTTTCAATTATCTGTTTTGAAAACATTTATTGTTTATGAAGGGTCTTAATGTTTTCGTTATGTTCTTTGCTGAAAAATTATTTTTATTTCATTTATCAATATTATTCTCTGATGATGTATTTTTTGTCTTACTTTAGAAATCATCCCCTTCTTTGATGTTGTATAGATATTTTTCTATATCTCTTTGTAAATGTTTTAAACTTTTGCTTTATACATGTCAGTGTTTAAACAACCTAAAGTTTCTCTTCATACATCATATGAAGACTGAATTTTTTCCCATATGGATAGCAAATTGTCCTATTTCCATTTATTAAAGAATCCTTTTATCCTAATGATTTTCAATGCCACATCTATTCATATACTGAGTCATAAATCACCTGTGTTTCTTTTGCAGGCCTGTATATTCTGCCCCATTTATCTGTTAGTCTAACAGATGATGTCTTAATATCTTAATCACTATAGCTTTGAAAGTCATGTGATAATCAGGTAAGGCTACTCTCCCTCCCACATATCCCTCTTCAGAAGTGTCTTAGTTACTTTCCACAATCAAATTGGGCTCTTCTGGTGGTGGTTCCCGGGTGGGTGGGTTTGTGTATGTTCTAGGTCCCTGTGGGTCTCTCCTGTGAGGCTAGAAGTTTCTCCCACTGCCTCAACCCCCACAGTCAGAGGCTTTTTCAGTCAGAGGCTTTGAGGCTTTATTTCCCCCACACTGGAACCCTGCGTTGCATGGTCTGTCTTGCTCCCCAGTTGTTCTTCCCAGTTTATCCACATGCAAATGTGGGACAGCCTGGTCCTCCAGCCACCACCTTGCCACATGTTCTCTCTGGCTGCCCATCTCTGCCCCTCCATCTCTGGTCAGGATGAATATTTCTTCTTTAACACCTTGGTTGCCAGACTTCTATACAGTTTGATTTTCTGCCAGTTCTGGTTGTTTTTTGTTTTTAAATTTATCGTTGTCCTTGTTTTGGTTGTGCAAGGAGGCACAGTGTATCTACCTATGCCTCCATCTTGGCCAAAAGTCCCACATAAAGTCTCTTGAGCCAGCTGTGTGGACTGTCTTGCTCTGGTCTTTTCACTGGTGCACACAGGGACCTGCCTCCTCTTTGCCTGCTCAGACTGGCGGGCTGCGTTTCAGGTTGTCCCAGACAATCTCAGCCACTAACAGTAACACCTTTGATACTGTACATTTATCAAGGCCTATTCTTCCAGATGGGATGGGAAAAGTTTTAAACACCTTCTTGTTTACTAAAAGGCAGTGATGTATTTTGCTTTATGTTGGTAAGATTTTTTCTTTTCTAGTATTTCTAAAAAAAGAATGGCCT